GGATGTTAGAAAAAATAGACTGGCGGTATCCTTCACAGAAACTCAAGAAGGCAGGCTGCAAGTGAAAAGATAGGCCTTTATTAAAATACAGATGTGCATAGGGACAGCCTCAAAAATAAGGAGGCTGCTTTCTTCTAGGGTCCAAAACTGGGGCTGGTTTGTTGGCAGTCCCTTCAGGGCCACTATTTTGACAGGTGGAAGGATAATCTGAAACATTCAGTCTCTGCTGGATCTCTAATCATGGTAGTGGACCAGAATATGGCAGTGGAAACTCAGCTTTTTGCATCTCTGTGTTTTTCCCACAAGAGGACAGGTAAGTTTTCGTGTTCTGATGCTGTCACTACTTTCTACCTTTTGTATTTTTCCAATCTCGCTCATCTCATGCTGTCGCAAGATTGCAATATCTGGTGTTTTGAATGTGAACTTCTCTCTCCTAGTTTTTGTTGTTTTTTAAGCCTCTCTATAGCTAAGTTGCACCAGAGCAGGCAGTGCCAGCTTCCACAAATCCCCAGTCAAAAATCCACCTGATATTTCCCCATGCAGCAATTCTCTGCCTCTAGCCTCTTCTCTCTATTACTGAAGTAGTAACTAAATGTATGGTCCAGGCAACATGGAGTGGTTAGCCTGTGGCAGCTAATCATTTGAGCCTTTTATATTTCTGTATTGAACCACTAAGACTTTTTACTTCTTGTTAAGCCATTTTTGTTAATAAATATTCTCATTATAACTGCAGCGTGACTATTGCTAATTCCCTAAAGAAAGCACACTTATATTGTAACCGCAAAATTCCCTTATGCAAGTGAAGTAATTGGGCCCAATGCAATAATGTCTGTGATGTACTATCATTTCCAGTAAAAAATCCAAAAGTAGTATTGCTAATTCCCCAAATTAGCGTGTTCCATGAATACATGCATAAGATCAGGATGCATGGGCATATGTGCACCTGCACGAAAGAGGATTTGGTAACTGTGAAAAATGTTGCTTCCAGAAAACAATTTTCATCAAGAGCATGGCAGGGGAAGGAAGGGTTTACTCTTCTTCTCAAAACCCTGCAGTCCACTGGTGGTTGGACCCTCTGTAGCAGCTATTTTTGTGTGTGGGCGTGGTGTGGGTATTAGAACATGTATATTAATTGTATTCACACAATAAACACAATGTATAATTTGGCCCTTAGATTATTTGTTGCTATTAAAGGTAAAGGGACCCCTGACCATTAGGTGCAGTTGTGGACGACTCTGGGGTTGCGGCGCTCATCTCGCTTTACTGGCCAAGGAAGCCAGTGTACAGCTTCCGGGTCATGTGGCCAGCATGACTAAGCTGCTTCTGGCGAACCAGAGCAGCGCACGGAAACGCCGTATACCCTCCCACCAGAGCGGTACCTATTTATCTACTTGCACTTTGACATACTTTTGAACTGCTAGGTTGGCAGAAGCAGGGACCGAGCAACGGGAGCTCACCCCGTTGTGGGGATTCGAACTGCCGACCTTCTGATCGGCAAGTCCTAGGCTCTGTGGTTTAAGCCACAGCGCCACCCACATTACGTAGTGTCTAAACAAGCATATGACTTTCCTTTCTTGTAAAACTATCTAGAATGTTTGTTTGATTGAGGAGAATTTCATCATTGGTCATTAGTTTGATACCACATGCTTTCTTTCTGCAATCCTATGTACTAATAGTGACTCATGTAGACAAAAATGCACTGTCCATACACAAGAATGAAGTATCAGCAGACTTGTGGGATCTCTAAAGTTTACAGGGGAGGAAAAAGAAAAAACTCTTGGGGTAGCAAACCTTAAAAAATCAAACCATAAAACAGCCCAATGAGGACTACGGTTTGGGGAGATGCATTTAAAGGTGAACGCACCAAATTCACACTTTCTAAAACAAGAGGTTTTCCCTTTTCTCTGTCTTGAAACTTCCATCATTCATCTTCAGTGGATGCCCCAGGTCCTAGTATTATGAGCGAAGGAGAAACCCTTTTCCTTTTTACACTTTCCCCACATTGTGCACGTTGTTTAGGGTTCCATACCCTGTCAGCAAAACCTTAAATTTGGCCTGGCAACCCAGGCTACATGCTGTGCAGCTGCATTCTATACTAGCTGAAGCTTCCAGATCAAATGCAAGGGCAGCCCCACACAGAGCACATTGAAATAATCAAATCATGACATTTCCAATGCATGAACCTCTTGAGCCAAACTACCCCTATCCAGGAATGGCTGCATCTATCACACCAACTTGAGAGTGGTAAAAAGCACTCCTAATCACCAAGGCCACTGAATTAGCATGATGGATCAATGAGTATTCCCAGACTCCTGGGACCCAATGATAGATCAAGGAGTACCTGTTCAGAGGAAGTGCAACACCATCCAAAACTGACCTATAAGAGACCTATCTCCCAAACCATAGAACCACCCACCCACAGGTCCACCATCTTACTAGGGTTCAGCTTCAGTTTACTGGCCCTTATCTAGGTCAACACTGCCTCTTGACATCACCCTTTCCTTTTACTATATATTTCCCTTTGAGGAAGCTAAAATGGTAGTTGTGCATATTTACAGCTGGGTATTATAGTACTATATGCACAAAAATTAAAGAAGTGTCCCTGTATAATGCAGTAACCATTTTGCTTGAGGCACCCCCTCACACACAGCACTAGCATGTATGGAAAACCAGCACTTGATAAATGTTGTTTATTGGGGTCAGAAATGAAGCATGGGCATATCCAACTCTTCAAACAAGCACTGTAATGACTTGCTCCCAGTGTTCTGGGCGACATTGCCCTTTATTTCACGTCAGCTAATCTGCACACACTGTCCTTCCAACATTATCCTAAACTATTCTGCCAATCCAAACAATCCATTTGCCATGGTTTGCAGCATCAAAATTCTTGAGTCTTCAAAACAAGTTGTTTGCATTAGCAGGAAGAGTTATGGAAGCAAGAGGCTGTGTATTGTATTTCTGTCTCACAAGCAGGTGCCCTGAGAAGCATCTATTTGTAGCAACACAATCCAGATGCCATAGCAGTGCTTCTTTACATGGGCAATTGTGTACATTCCCGTGAGTTTACTCTCACCCCCAGGAGGGGTCACCTCGCAAAGTTTTCTTGTCCTGGACGGGCTCCTCGATGCTAAGAAACTCATAACTAATTACTATGACTTCAATTCTTAACTGGACCAGCTGTGTCAAAGCAAGGAAGCCACAGTTCCCAAGTGTTGTAGGATCTATAATTTATCTTCCCTATAAAAAAGTCAATATTGGACAAAAGAATGACATTTTAAAAAATCATAAAATAAGTAGTGTGGTATTTACCCAACACGGTCTTTTCTTCTCATAGTTTTATTTCACATGTTGAGCTCTGTTTATACACCTCTTATGCTTTTTGTGTGCGTGAGAGTCGGATTATTCTCTTCTCACTTTGGAAGACTTCTGGGCTAGAGATGAAACAAGACCACTGAGAAAAGAATGTGCCTACGAGAGAGCCTCTGAAGACACTGAATTTTTAATGCCGTAAAATGGGTTAGGAATCTAATTGTAATTTTTCTTAATTTTAAAATAGTGTTCTTAAGACACCCTGGTTGCTCAGGTTTGGGAGAAGGAATAATGAAAGTGTTTATTTCTTTATGTGCACACTCAGTGGCACTGTTTTTGTTTGCATATGGAAAGCCAAGTCTCGCAGCAACAACAGCGTCAGATGAAATAAGGAGAGCTCTTTTAATATTAGAACACCAACAGAAGTGAACTCTTCATCAAAGATTTAGGGACTGGTCCTGCAGCCTTTCTTCACAAGAAGAGTTTTTTGTTCTCTTAGAGTTGTTTTAGGTCTTACAACCCATATTCAGATGTGATGCTCTTACCCTGGAAAGGGGTAACTCTGCAAGCATTTGGGTTTATTTAATTTATCATTATCAGACCAAGAGATCCACCCATTCTACCTTAATCCAGTATCCCATTTCCTTTGGTGACCAGTCAGATTCCTTTGAGAAGCCCACCAGGAACTGAAACATTGTTATGGAAAATCCAAATTGGCTTTTGTTTTTTGAGAAAATAATATAAAACAAGACTATTTAAGTATCGTAATTGAACTTTGAAAAAGATCCCAGTCAAATAAAGTTTGATAATCTTTCTATGAATTTGGAAAGTAGGAGATGGTTGTAACCCAATGAACAAAGGAGGTAAATAATTATTTTAAAGCCTTAAGCTTTCCTAAGAAGCGGAAGAGAGTTGCATATAGTGTCAGTATATGGTTTTGTTATTATGTGGCACTGGATTTGGCCATACCTGAGCAGAATAAATAATGTCTTGTTCTAGCTCAGTTCCTGTTGCAGACATAGAATAAAATTATTTTTAGCTTCCTCTAAGTCCTCCATGACAGGACAAGAATAATTTGTTAACAACGTACATGGGACAATGCTGTGGCAAGGAGAGAATCAAGGTTCATACCAAAACCAGCTCCCTAAATCTTAGTGTCAATTCAGTTTAATTGGGTTGTAGATTATGCTAGATGTTACTCGGCATCATCCCTGGAACTCTCTTTTTCTCTCAGGGTAGATTGTGTGGTAATTTAATGGCCTGTTGCATTATTATTTTATTTGTCTTACCTATAAGACAAATGCAAAAGAGTGTTTAGTTTTTTTTAAATAAAAAATGAATAAAACATATGGAGTTTGGAATCATTATCAACACCACAGGAGCCCTGTGGAAATTGCTGAGAACTTACTTTCCTAATTTGATAGCTAAAGACCTCCTTTTTCTGACACACATTAAGGATTTTGATTGATACCTTTTTATGGTTACTGGGTGATTGTCTCTTTGTCAAGTTGGTGAAAGCAAATGCAATCCGCTAACAACCGTGAATCAATACGGTGGTCAGTATTCACACGTGTATTGCCGAGTTTTCTGATATTCGTTGCTACCCTAACCTGCTTTCCTGTTCTTTCCTACGCACTGCAAGTGACCTCTGTAAACAGACAAATTCCAGTTCACTTCCCTCCAGATTCAAGAGCGTGAGTCAGTGCCCTGAGGGAATAATGAGGAATTCATTGCTGTTGCTACAAAGAATGAAGTAGGAGAAACAATGCACATTTTCTCCTCAGAATGAGAGGAACAAATAGACAAGAAGAGTACCAGACTTGAGGATCATGGAATTGCAGTGGTAGCTAATTTGTAGTAGCTAATTTGAAAATGAGATCAGGGACTGCCTTCTGACTAGCGTGGAGTGGACCAGAATGAGATACCCACATAAAGAATGGAGTGATGTGAGTGTGTATGTGTATGTGTATGTGTATGTGTATGTGTAAAGGGGGGGGGGAGAGCACTTTGTGCAAAATATTTCCCTGCATCTGCCATGTCAGACCCTAGAATTGATTGTGACCTGGTTCATAAAGTTGTATGGTTGCATGGAGGTTTTGGCAGTGAAAACTATGGGCAATTATCCTGGTTCCAATTCACTACAGAATGCTTGAATACTCAAACTGGGACTGAAGGCAAATAAGCATAATGGTCACAAATCCAATACATTTAGGATTAGCACGGTCCATAAGAAATCCAGTTGCAGCAGACTTAACTTAAACTTACAACAACTTATCATAAGACTAAAACCTGAAAACCTAGCATACTATATACAGAACACCACACCAGAAGGAAAGAGAGATAGAAAGTGAAACCCAGGCTCCTTGTGGCCTTATTCTTATAGTCAGCATGACCTTGACAGAAAGAGATAACAGGACCAGTGTAAGCCAGCTGTACTCAACTTCTCTGAAGGAATAACCCAAACATAATGAACCTTCTGCCCGTTTCTAGGCAGAATAAAACTTAAGTGCCAGCTAGAAACTTCTAGCTTGCACCAGTTTCTTTCACACAGATAAGCTTCCAGAACCCTCTTGAATTAATTAGAATAGGAAAGATCTCTACACATCAGATCAATACTTTCTGTACCAAGAAATGCAAACTGACAGGCTTCCACACAGGGCATTTACTTTTTATGGGGCATCTGCATAATCTCATGATTAAAAAAAACACATTCTTTTCCCTTTCAGCTTCCATTTTACCTGAAAGTCAGAAAATTCAACTTCTCCAAATGTCCAATTTCTCCAGGTGTATACGCCCTATCATGCAGCTGATCCACAGGTGGGGGCAGTTACGGTCTGTATAGATTGCTCAACTCATTTCCTTTTCTATGGCCTATATTACCTCTCTAGGAACCAACGTTATAGCTTTAACCCTTCATTTTCCAAACAGCATTGCCTTAATATCCATTTTTCTCCCCCTTCCTTGCACCCCCTCCCACACAATTACAGTGGGAAGACAGTCATGACTGGGAACACCTAGAAAGTGAAGTTTCTGGTGTGGGTGGGTGTTATGGTCATGGCATCAAAGTGAGGAGAACCAAGAAGGGAAAGCAAAGGAACAAATGAGAGAAAGGATTGGGGAGCATTTATCTTGTCAGTAGAAATAACTGGATTTATTTTGTGATTTTTTTTATCATTGCTTCTTTTTTTAAAAAAATCCCCAATAGAGTGCTTTCCCAGAAGTTCTGAAAAGACTTTTTCACATATGTGATCTTATCAATAGTTCCATGCAAGAAAAGACATTAGGTTCATAGTCAAGACAGTTTCCTTCATACGTTTGCTTAGATTCAGAAATGACATAAGCCTTATGAATAATGTAGTGTGTGCATATTGTCATCTTTGGATAATATCATCAAATACACCAAGAATCCCTCTAAATTATTGTTCGCTCAAATACCTCCCTCAGTCATGAGGCTGAATTAAATTGAAAGCACACAGCCAGGATCCAAACAAGGGTAAATTTAACAGCAGTCATAAACTCTGCTGAAATCTGGAATAATTGTATACCCATTATTAAACTGGCCCAGAGTCCCCATTTACAGAAACCGGGGGTCTTTCTGATCATGGAGTTTAGACCAATCATCTGCTTAATCTGGTCTTAATCAATGTGGACTTTTTATTGTTACTTTTTAGAATCAAGATATTATTTGATCTGTGGGCAAGAGAAATGTGCTATAAATGCAGATATTTTCCCCTGTGTGCTCTATGGAAAATATACTATTATAGTAGGTCTTTTTAAATAAATAAAAATTAGTACTCATAACACAGTGCAAAACAAAAAACCTCACTCTATGGAATATATGGAAATTTTAAAAAATGTGTTATCTCTTCCTTTTCTTAAAAAAACAGGTAATGGAGACAATTTACAATACGAAAACCAGGGACCGTGGAGAAGAGTTGCTGGGGTATACGGCGATCCAGTCTGTTATTATTGCAGAACAGTTTCCAATAGGGCATACCTTGGATCCTGTCACACCTGGGAAATACTCTGACGCTGTGGTTCATAAAGACTTATGACCATTTCATCTCTTGTTTGCCAATGTCTGTGGAAGTGTTTATCTAAATGGCTCAACATTTGCTCAAATCAGCAGCATCCCCACCATCCTCATCACCACCATCATTAAATTGTTTTCTTCACTACTCTTTGCCATGAGGTCTTAGAGCAGGTTATCAGCTTAAAAACTTTGGGGGGAAATCATAAGAAAGCTCAACAACTTCAATCCTAAAAAAAGTCAACAACTTTGGTCAGCCCTTTGGTCGGCCCTCGCGGCCCTTCACTTCATCAAATCTGGCCCTCTTTGAAAAAAGTTTGGACACCACTGGTTACTCCACAAACCTCTGAATGCAGAGGAATTAGCATGTGGGCACCTCCCTAAATTTAATCCCAAAGAGTGTCTGTAAGGAAGGAGGCAGTGTTTCAGATATTTGGAGCCTAAATAGTTTATGGTTTTAAATTCTTGAATTGGGTCCAGAAATGTTCTAGTAACCAGTTGATGTTAAATTGGAAGTGTCTCCTTGACTTCAGCTTATCATGTTACATTATTTTTGCTTGCTGAAGTAAAATATATTGCACAACCACCCCTCCCACAGCAGCAGCGGCAAGACACACACACTGACTAAACAATACAGAAGACCTCTCCCCATATCAACCTGCCTGTACTTTAAGATCAACATAATAGGCTCTTCTATTGTTTTACTATTAGGGAGGCTCATTCGGGGACATAATGCAGAATAGACATTAAACAGTTGAGCTGTTCAGGTTTGTATGAGTGGCTGGTATGTGTTTTTTTAAAAAAAGGTTTCTTTTTAAATTTATTTTTTAAATAATACAGCAAAAATAGAACACCAACAGAAAAAAATGAAATGAAATTAAGGGGGGGGGACACAGTTCAAAAACATTGAAAACAAATATACTTGTTGTATAGTACTCCCCCCACCCATCCACCCGCAGCTTCCCTCCACTACAATTCAACTTCTTTAAATCACTATCTCCGCATTTATCCTTGCATTCTCCAAATGTATTGTTATTTGTACTTCTTTTATTGTATGAGTGGCTGTTTTAGTTTCCAGTCCACTGTATTTAGTTGCTACCATTTGCTGCTGTTTTTATAAATCTCATATATATATATACAGCGGTACCTCAGGTTAAGTACTTAATTTGTTCCAGAGGTCCATTCTTAACCTGAAACTGTTCTTAACCTGAAGCACCATGTTAGCAAATGGGGCCTCCTGCTGCTGCCGTGCCGCTGGAGTACGATTTCTGTCCTCATCCTGAAGCAAAGTTCTTAACCTGAAGCACTATTTCTGGGTTAGCGGAGTCTGTAACCTGAAGTGTCTGTAACCTGAAGCGTATGTAACCCGAGGTACCACTGTGTGTGTGTGTGTGTGTACACACACACACACACACACACACACACACATAATACATACATACATACCCCCAACTGATGGTTGTTTATAATTTATTTTATGTTGTACCCCACTCTGGCATCAGTATGGAAGAGAGAGACATTTACAAATCTTTTGAATAAATAAACTGGTGAATTTCATTAAACATTACATGGGAAATGGGGCAGAGCAAGCTATACACAGAGATGCTGTTTTCTGCAGGAGGTTTGTGTCTGCTGTAACTTTTAGATCTATCCATACATCTTCCCCACCTCCTACCCCGCACCACGTCCACGCTAAGGCCTTGCAGTGATTGGATAGGAGTTTCCTTTGTACAAAGTCCACGTGTGACTAGTAGGCTCACTTGCAGGCACCTGACATCACCTGCCAGCTCCTGGTCCAGCATCAGTTCCACTGAAAGTGCAAGGGAGCCTGGCTTTTCCTTTGTGGAGGGATGAGGGTTGTCAGCCTTTCTTAGGATTCACTTTGGGGTCATCCTCGTTTCCGTGCAGAAGTATTCAGAGCTACAAATCACATGCTCAAGCCAAACCTCAGCTAGCGTTGCATGGGGCTTGCATAGGAGCAGTGTGTGACAGATTACGGACTACATATCAATTCATTTGTCAGCCGCTGATCTGAGCTTACACCAGTGGGGAAGGAAGAACAATTTGTGTCTCTCGCAGTTTTTGTGATGCAGAGCTGTTGGTACTAAGAAGCAGGATTAGAACATCACCTCATTTCTCACACAGTGCAGAACACACTAACAGCTGGCGGTCACTAGAGATCTTAGTCAGATTCAAATCACTAACCTAAAAGGTGAAAGTCTCCACATCCCATTACCAAATCCTAATACATCCCATCCCCCGGTCAATTAAGGGTTGATCATTACGAATTCCATGTTGGGTTAATTAATTACTATATCTGAACTCTGCCGTAGGATTTATTAGATCATCAGGGGCCTGCAATTTATTTTATTTAGTGCTGCATGAAACGGTTCTTTCAAAAAAATAAAAATAAATCCCTAACTAAAAATTTTAAGAACGCTGTGGTTTTTTTTCGTATACACAAACTGCTATGTAGACATTACATATATTATTGAAGCAATCCTTTGGGATTGGCAGGAACAGCAAGGCAGCAAGCTAACAAGCTGGCCCAGAGGATAAAGTACATGTGGACCACCACAGATACAAGCAGCGTGAAAGCCAGAGGGCCTGCAGAAACTATTGCCATGTTAATGAACCTCCACATATAATGTGAAAAGGTTTGTTTATAGAAAGGTGCAGGATGGGAGGTTATTTTCAAATCCTCTTGGAACGAACCAGATTTGCTTTTCAAAATACACAAATATTAGAAAAAGAAGCTCAATGTCCAGGAGGTAAATCAATCCATCATTACCTACCCCAAGCTCCCATATTGCAGCTTGAGTAGAAAAATACTGCAAAGGACATTTGCCCTAATGAGGGACCAGAAATTCTCCTCATCCGCAAAAGCTCATTCCTGAAAGCTGCCCTGCATGCCATGACTTACCCCAGTAGCCAACGAAGAAAATAAGATCTACATTTGCTTAGCAGCACATGTGCAGTAGTAAAGAATATAGCTTTTGAGTATGTGTAAACTGTATTTCTCTTACTTTTGAATAGAGATGGGGGAAATTGATTCAGTTTGCATTTAAGGCAAATCCTTTACCAAATTTTAAGGCAAATCTATCAAATTCACACTTACCAAAGCATTATGTGAATGGTAAACAGTTATCCCTTGACATTTACACTTTTCCGAATTTTGCAATGCATAGTAAATTGTGCATAAAAAATGAACATAATATACAAACGTATTATTGGGGGGCTGCTTGCAAAAATGTGTACATTGATAAAAACTGTGTGCAATGCGTTTATGAGGTGAAATTCACACTAAAATCCTGATGTGTTTTCATAAGATTTAAACAAAAATCCCAAATTGCTGAAAAAATGCAGAGAACTGAATTTCAGATTGGAAAAATGAGAAACTGGGAGAACAGAAATTGACAGATCTTTCCACCCCTACTGCTGAGTGACCATTGCTTTCAAACCCCCACCCCCTTATCTGTCATTAGGTAGTCCAGTAACAGGACATGGATCCAAGACATGTTTGGTCACCACCCAACACTTTCTATTTTACACCCAAATGACAGGAAAAAAACCACGCAGAACTACCCCCAAATCAGTGCGTCCAGAGCTACTACATGAACAACAGATATCTGATATCTAGGATGATTATGGAGAACAAAGGAAGCTGCTTTACCCAATCCCACCCTCGGTCCATCTAGTTCAGCATTGTCAACGCTGACTGGCAGTAGCTCTCTCACACTTCTCTCTTTCCCATCCCTAGCTGGGGATGCCAAGAACTGCACCTGAGACCTTGTGCGATCATGCAGAGCATATGCTCCACCACTGAGCTATGGCCCTTCCAGCACAGAGAAATCCCATACACATCTAAAGTGACTATTGGATGGATGGCGCTGTTTTTGTGCTTTATAGTTTTTCTCGGGTTTTATTGTACTGTTTTTATTCTTTTTAAACTGTACACTGCCCTCGGAGCTTTTGGAGACGCCTGGTTCATAAATCTGCAAAACAAAGGAAGAACCGGTCCAGATCAAAATGTTTGACTTCTAAATCAGGCTGGATTCCCAGCGCTTTCTCCTTGTGGAAAGAGAGTTCTGGCATAGAGGGGGCCAATGCCTGCTGTTCCTGCAGCCCCAGTTGCCGTGCCAACACAAGCAAATGAGGTGCCTCCTTACACAGGTGCTGGCAAAGATCCAGAAAGCCTTCAAACATTTCTGAAGGTCTGGCCCTTTAGAGTGTAATATTCCTAACCCCATTAACATACATGGTGTTGATTCTGTCGACTTTTGTGAAAATCTGCATTTTCAACGTGCCGCCCTCTAACTCTTGGTCTGACTCATACTGCATGCGGCTTGAGTATTGCAACCTTACAGTTTAAATATATCCAAATCTGAATGCTACAAAAAACACAACTGTGTAAACTAGCTCACTTACATTTCTGCCATTTGAAATTTATGCCACGACCTCCAGGGAATTAAGCTGGCTTAAATACAAGCTGTAATAGTTTGAGGATCCCGAAGCTCCATATAAACAGCAAGAAAAATGTTTTCAGTTCTATGGGCCATGGCTAATACTTCCTCTACTGAACATATTTGGACTAAAATGGTTTCCAAGTCTACTCCAAGGGCAAAATTTAGATCTTTTGTTTTAATTTTGGCTCTTTAGGGCTTATCAAAGATGCATATTGATTTTTGTCAGCAGTCCAAGGCACTTTGTGCTATCTTCATCGATGCCAACTTTTGGCAAGGCATCTAATTCTGGAATTAAAAAAAATGGGTGTGACAATATAAAAATACAATCCAAATTTGATTAAAGCAGCAAACGGTTGCAAAGATGATGAGGCCAATTTGCAAAGTGCTTGGAGCAGCAGCATTGAGAGTGCTTTA